CTCCAGGAAAGGAATGTCATCAAAAGAGAACCATAGAATTTGAGACTAGAAGGGATATGAGAGATCACCAGTGAACCCCTCCTAACTCATTTTACAAAGGAGGAAACTTAAGCCTGGGAAGGGGAAGAGAATTCCCCAAGGTCTCAGAGTAGCTAATGATAGAGTTTCATTGAAGCACGCTACTTCCCATGTCATACTGCCCTATAGGAAGGAAGAAAACAAGCATTTATTAAGTACTTACTATGTGCTAAGCATTTTATAACTATTCCCTCATTTGAGCTACAGCTGTAGAGCCTCAGCTTTCTAGCTGTGTGACCCAGGGAAAATCATTTCACCTCTTTCTCTCTCAGTTCCATTATCTGTGAAATGGGAATAATAGTAGCACTTGCTCCATAGACCTAAGTGAGATAATGTATAAGAAAGGATGGTGTCAATTATTGTTATGCTTATCTCATGTTACTCTCATTTCATTATTTTTGGAGAAGGTTCAAATACAAATAGTGATTTCCATTCAGTTGTTTTAACATTGTGTTAAATTCTCTCAACAGCTCTGTAAGCTACATGTGGTGAGGGTTAGTGATTCCAGTTTGACAGAAGAGGAGAATGAGTCACAAGGCCTCCCAAGCCAGAAGGTCCCTCTCTCCTTTCAGAAATGGGGAAGCATTTATTTAGGCAAATCACGCAGCACATAAGCTATATCGCCAGGTGTTGTGGTGATTTGTGGGTAAATCATCAGTGAGTCAGCAACGGGTATTTTACCAAGCACTTACTATGTGCCTGCTCTGAACTAAATACTGCTAATGTAAATACAAGCAAAAAGAAACACTGTCCCTGTCCTGAAAGTGCTTACCTTCTAATAGTGGAAGACAAAGCATAAAAGGAAACAGAAAAGGAAGAGGCAAGTGGGCAGGTAGCCAGGGTGGGAATGAAGTAGAACAGTAGATTGTAGCCTGCTGAGAAATGAAGAGATGGCTAGGCTGAGTGCCCTCCTTAAATCTCCCCTATGGTTTTGTGTGGATAGAGTGCCAGGCCTGAAGTCAGGAAGACTCATCTTGGTGATTTCAAGTCTGGCCTCAGACACTTACTAGCTGTGTGACCCTGGGCAAGTCACTTAACCCTGTTTGCCTCAATTTCCTCATCTGTAAAATGAGCTGGAGAAGAAAAAGGCAAACCATTTAATTCTCTTCCCAGCTGGGGTCAAGGAGAGTTGGACATGGCTGAACAACAGCAAGGGTTTTGTTATCCCTCTTCAACAATTTAACAGTGTTTATTAAGTATATCCTCAAAACTTGGCATGCTAAGATAAAAGTGAAACTACTCCTTCCATGGGCGTGCATTCTCTTGGAAGGATCTTATGGATTCAGAGAAATAAAACAGTATATAGAAAGTGAAGGGGGTAAAGTCGACATAAGACAGCGGTCTCTCCAAGAGCACTAGACCATAGGGGTGATGGAAGAAGGGCTTCATGGAGGAATGTAGACTTCTCTTGGTCACCCTCTCTTCTCATCATAAGGCTTTGCACTTAAGTGGGGCTTAGTAAGTGCTCTTTGAGTAAACGGTAAGTAAACAATTAGTGGCAGAGCAAGTGACTAGTACTTCGGGTGTCCTGACTCTCACTCAGAAATATATTGAACATGGCATAAATGAGGCTTTAGCTCTGGGTGCTGACACCTTGGTAAAGGAGGGTGCACTTCCTCCCCAGGACCATTTTCTTCTTCTATATAGTGACCACTATTCCTATACCTTGTCTCTGCATCCCCAGGTATACCAAACTATACCAAGCATCAGATCACCTGTCCCCCCACTTCTGTGCCTGTTCCAGCCTCTGCCTGAATGACTTTGCCTGTGGTGGACCCAATGTCCGTGTTGTCCTCCCACAACCCCCAAATGAATCTGTCCCAAAGGATGGTTGTTATAGCTTGTTAAAGCTTTGTTCCCACCATCTCCACTCTTCTTCCTTTTTCTCTCCCTCCCTCCCTCGTCTCTGGCTTTCTCTCTGTCTGTCTTATCTGTCAGTCTGTAACACACACACACACACACACACACACACACACACACACGGCATAAAATGAAACACTCTTCTTAGTTGATGGACAAAGGTTGCAATTTTGCATTGTCCCACTTCCCCTGGATCTTTATAGAGGCACTTACTTAAAGATTACAGTGGCATGACACTGTGCTTAAGCACCTGCTAATGTTTTCATTAGAAATCCCTGTTTTCATAGGCTTGTAACTTTGCTGTAAACAGGCAATGGCTTTTAACTCAGCACGTAGTTTCCCTGCTCCAGCAGCCTTTTAGCCAGGCCCCACCCCCCAGGAAAACAAATTGGGCCTTCCTGGAGCTTAACAATAGTCAAAAAACACCCCCGCTTCAAAAAACCCCATAAAAATCCCTTGTTTTGATTTGCTTAAATGTTATTTCCCAGCTCTTCATGCAGTCCTTTGGACTGATGGAAATCCAGGAATTCAAAAGGAACCACCAGTGCTCCAGTTATGAATTTTGAGACTCCAGGCCAGCTGCGAAGGGGAGGTGGGGTCAGGTAAACAAGGGTCATTTCTGAAAGAACAAGTGCTATCGCTGCATCTGCCAGACTCTCAGCTCCTGTAATTCTCCCTCCACCCCTTCCTTCTCTGTCTTTGTCTCTGTCTCTGTCTCTGTCTCTGTTTCTCTTTCTCTCCCCCTCCCCACCCCCCCATTCCAGTTGCTATTTCCTGTTGGTTTGTGATCTTAAGATAACCAATAAGAAAATTCAGTGTACCCCCCCCAATTTACTTGTTTCAGTGACATCATTCCCATTTCGTTGCATTTTGAACATAATCATTCCGTTCAGTCCAAGTCAGTAGGCATTTATTAAGTGTCTGTTGTGTGATAGGCTGGCCAGCCCGGCCGGGGAGATGGAGCTGGCCTGTCCGGAAGACTTGTGTTCAAGCCTGTCCTCGGACAGGTACTGACTGGGTGATCCTGGCTGAGTCATTTAGTCCCCAAACCCAGGTAACTTTCCAAGACTAAGTAGCAGAGATGTTAGTTACTCATTTGCTTTAGTAGAAGAAGTTTCTTACACCTATGAAACCACAGATCTGAACCTCTCTACTGCCCATTACCCCTAGGCTAGGCTAGGTATACAAAGGCAAAAACTAAATAGACCTTGCCTTTTGAGAATTTTATATTCTACATGGTGGAGGACCAACTAAATAGCCAGTGAAGCTCCTTTCAACTCTGTGGCTTAGCACAGGTGGTAGGCCAGGAGTCATTCATTCATTCATTCATTCATTCATTCATTCATTCAGTAAACATTTACCAAGATCCTACTATGTGCACATGGTGCTAAGACATTCCCTTAGCTCTGGGAATTATGGATTGTAAGAGGTTGTGTGGGAGTGTGGGTATGAAGTGGGAGAGATCTAGATGGCTGATGGAAGCTGGAGTGGTTTCCCTGCCTTGGGCTACTGGGAGAAGAACCATCTCCCAAGCTCCTAACTCACTGGAGAGGAATCCTTGTAGCTTTTGAGGTTGGAATGGGTTCCTATTCTTGGAGGGGAGGGGATCAGATAATACATGCTTTGGAGGAGTTTTTGTAGACAAAGCTCCCTGGTTATGATTTGTGAGTAGGGCTAAGAGTGGGATCATAGGGGGATGGATGGAGATAGCGGGGGAGATTTCTTTTGGCTCCTTTACATATACATATCAAGAAGATTGCTGTTGGTTACCCAGGAATCTATTGCTTGGGCAAAAATGGGGTTGCTTGATACAATTTAAAAGGCCGGCAGCAGCATTTTATCCTTTCCACCAGAAAATAACCCCTTACTCCAGTGAAGCTAAAAATAAAAATTGTACTACGTTTGGCAACCACACTTCTTCCTTTATTACCTCAGCAGTATCTGAATAAAATGTCTTATTAAGCAAGATATAAGGGCAATGAAAAGGAGAGTAAGTCAAATTAGTTGACATCTAAAGCTTGGCATATCATAGAGTGTGAGGGTAGTTACTGTTTAGTAAAATGGATTTAATGCTTAATATAAATGCTGATATTTAGATGGCTGTATTTTGGCAACTTGAGGAGGTGGCGGTGTTTTGGCAGCCGCTTGGCTCCCTCCATAGCTCTGGGCTGTCTGTGCACTCTATTTGAGATAAGGTTAGGCCTCATGGGCTCCATTGAAGAGTGCTGGGTGGACAGAGGCATTTGTGATGGCCTTTTGTCCATAGGAATGTTGGTAAGGGGTATCAACAAGGTGAAAGCGTGTCTATGCCAGCCAGGTGGGAATGGAATAAGGAAAGTTATTCCATCCTGTAGAATCAGGATCTCTGTGTTAAGAGGGGCCTTAGGGACTATTTGGTCCAACCTGTGCCTGAAGCAGTGATAGACTCTAAATATCCTTAGGGAAAGGCCATCTAGTCTTGGTTTGAGGGCCTCCGCTAATAAGAACACATTACCTTCAGAAGCAGCACATTTCATGTTTGGAAAGTTCTAATTGTCAGGAAATGCTTCCTCATATGAAATTTGTATCTTCTAGTTATTTTTCCTTGTTTTTCTGTCTAGGGCCACAAAGTCCTCTAAATATTTGAAGATGACTATCATGTCCTTCTTCCTCCCTCCCAGAATTCCCCAGGTGAAATGCCCCCATTTGTAGTTAATAGAGTCATAAAATTTAGGCGTGAAAGAGACCATGGAGTTCATCTCTTCTAACCTTTTCATTTTGAAGATGAGGAAACTGAGGCCCAAGTGAGTTGTGACTTACATGTAGCAAGTAGCAGAGCCAGAATTGCCCCCAGCTCCTCTGATTTCAAATTCAGTGCTCTTTGTACAGCTATGCTCTTTCAGTTAATTCTCATGTGGTCTGGTTTTAAATTCCCTCACCATCTTTGTCTACCCTTTTCCAGCTATGTGTTGGTTCCTTTTTAAATGGCCTTTTCCAACATGGGGCCAAGAAATGAACATTGTATTCCAGAGATGGATTGGCCAGGGCAGAGTAACATGTTACTGTCGTCTCCCTCTTTATAGATGTGACACCTTCCTCGTGTCTATTGGTATTTCTTTCCTGATGAAAGAATGAAGGCTGCTAGGAGCAACATGGCACTGGTAAAGTGAAGCATAGGTAGGTAAAGACTATGGAGATGGAGCCATTTGTGGACATGGTTGTGAATACAGTTGAGATATGGGAGTTTTTGCATTCTTAGGTAGACATGTGCATATGTGTTTACAAGTGTATGTGTGTGTGTGTGTGTGTTCGTGTACGTGTGCGTGTGTATCTGGAGCCCGTTTGAAAGTGTATGTAAAGAGAAATGTTTCCTTGGGTCTCTTTACTAGGATTAGGGCAGACCTATGGGTGTGTCAGTCAATTACCCTCTCCACCTGTTGAGAACAATCAGGAGTGGTTTATGATTGGGTCTGCCATCACCCTTTTCTCCTTTCCTTTCAAGCTACAAAAGTTAGGGCCAGATGTGAAAGAAGCATGGGTATTCAGCAAGCTTGCTCTTTGCCTGTCCCCCAAATGTCTGTGTGGAAAGGAGTATCACAGTAACATAAAAGCAAGGGGCATCTGGAAGGCATTCCAGATTCCTGATAGCTCTGTTAATGGACACCATCTTGAGGAACTTGCCAGCTCGGAATCATTTTGGTTAGGCCGCTGGTCAACTTAATTACTTTGACAAGGTAATCAAATACTCTGGGCCTCAGTTTCCTGATTTGTACAAAAGTGGTGATTGAAGGTTATGGGAAGAGTGGAAAATATTACCTTTGACTTTAAGAGGATGACACAAGAGATGATGGAATTATAGCGGCTCCAAAGGAGGAAGTGTATATTATCAGACAGGCAATGTGGGGTAGTGGAAAGAGCCCTCCATTTGGAAGTAAAAGATTTGGATTTAAGCCTTGCCTCTGTCATTTATTATCTACATGACTTTGGGCAAACCAATTAACTGCTCTGAGCCTTGGTTTCTACATCTGTAAAGTGGAAATAAGATGCACCTTATCTGATTATGAAGATCTGATGAGATAATTTGTGCAAGGCACATTGAAATTCCAAGGCACCACTCAAAGCAATTATTCTGATAAGTTTTAAACTCCACGGGTGGCAAGGATCAGGCCTTAATTATTCTTGCACCTTCCCTACTTTTTAACACAATGCTTTGCACAAAGTAGGTTCCTAAGAAATGGTTATCTTTGAATGAGTGAATGAATTTTTGTTCATTACTTAGAAGATATCAATGCCAGTTCATTTCCCCCAGTCTGTTGACCATGTGAGCATCTGTTGATTTTCCAGAGCTCTTCCTTGGTTGACATTGAACAACAGTTTTTCCCCCAAGGAATGAAGCACACCTGAGAATTCAGTTCCTTTGGTATCCTTGTCATTAGAGATGAAAAATCTTGAGTGTAGTTGACCACTTTCAATGATACTGGTTGGGAAGGCTGAGGGTAAGCAATGAAGTAGAACACTCCATGCTTCAAAGAAGTGATTTTTTCACAGCAACAGGAAGACAGGGTATGTGGGGAGTTATAATACCAAGAAGAATCAGTATTCCTTCTAGATTTCTTTGGGAAATTTCTGCTCTCCATCCAGTGAGGAATGTTGTCTTGCCACTTGAAGCCTAAGCAACTTTGATAGCCTTCAGGAGATAACGTGGGAATAATTTGTAGCTGATAAGAAAACTGTAGTTTGATATGCCAACTTAAATAGCACAGAGAATTTCCATAGCTTGCTCTGGTGTTGGGATGAGAGAGATGGTCACCTTCCTTGCTCCCACTGAGCTCCAGGAGTTTCTTGATAGCATGAACTCAGTTGTTTCAGTGCCCTGGCTGAGCAGTCCCTTGGCAAAAGTGCAAATAGGGGTACGATGTATAAGGATGAATTTGCCTTTCCTTTTCTCTGCCTGAATAAAGTCTGCCCCCAGTGGCTTCTGTATATCACTAACTGCTTTGGAATGAGTTTTACCAGACTTGAACTTTATATGGCTTAGCTCTTGTCAAACAGGTTATGAAAATTGCCACCATTACCTTGCCTGTTGAGCACCCTTCAAGATGAGCAAGCTTTCCTGGGACACAAGGTGAAGGATGGAATCTCTTGTTCACAGTTTGGTTTCTCCCATGGTTTTCCTCCCACTCTCCTTCTCTCTGTGAAGGAAAGCCATCATTAGCTACACACACCATAACAAATTCTGTTTCCCTCTCCCCTGGCTTACGCCATCTCCTGTCAGCTTTTACTGTGTTCTCCCTTTTTTCACCCTTTCCCCCTCCTCCCTGCCACCATTGACTCCTTTCAACCAATGAGAACCCTGATGATGAGAAGGGCAGGAGTGAAAAATTTAAAACTACCCAAGATGGATGGTGAAAACACCATGCATAAATAAATTACATCAAAACCCCCAGATGAACAATGATTGTGTGGTTGAAGACCTGGCTGAATAAGTGTGTCAGGTACTGATTGGAAGGATGATAAATGGAATGACCTAACAAAGGATTGACTTCTCGAGGAGACAGGCCCTTTTTAATGGATGGAAAGGGAGGAAGCTTCATTTGGAAGGGAAAGGCTGTTTGCAGTGCAGATATGACAAAGGGGAAGTCGACAACCATTGATTTACATTTGGGAATGACAGTTGAAAAATTCAGCAATAATCATGACAAATGAGAAGAGATGCCGTCAGACGAAAAAATGCCAATACGTTAAGTCTGAAAAGAAATGCCAAGGTCACAGAGAGAGGTTCCCAAACTTCTAGTTTTGACAACCTTAATGGAAATATTAGAAACAATGTGGGGATGAGTTAAAAAGGGAAGGTTTGGCATGAAGGATTGCGGGTGGTGTTAATTAGTGTCTTTCTTTTTCTTTTTTTAAGAAGGGGTGGTGCGAAGTTCTTCCTAAGCCAGGGCTGAGGGGGAAATGTCCACCAGCAGCCATGATGAGTCCCTTTGCTGTCTCTCCTGTCCTCCTCATGGAGGCTCTGAAATGAAGCAAATTATTTTAATGTCAGTGTTGACGGGAGGAAATGGAAATGTGGACTGGGTGAGCTCTGAGCGCCTGACAGAGGGGCTCGAATCGCAGGATTTGCACTGGTCTGTGAACTGTCATGTGAATGTTTTTTTTAAATTTTATTTATTTATTTTCATACCGAAAAGACTGATTGGAAGTGAGCTCACAGGGAGACTCGGGTTGCCTTCTTGGTCCGATTTGGACAATAAGTCACCTGTGTTTTGATGAATGCCTCCTTCTCTTACTTACTGCATTCATTTATAAGGGCTCCTGCTGTGATGGGTGATTCTCGATGCCAATTAACAGATGTGTGACCCAGAAATTTACAACATTAGATGTATATTTAAAAATGTACAGGGGGAGGTGGTTGTGTGTATATGTGTGTGTATGGAATGGGGTGAGGGGATGGATGTGGAACACTGGGAATCAGATGAGGATCCTCCCTTTGACTCTTCGCTTTATGACCTGAATTGGACAAGGCTTTTTCACTCTCTATTCCCGCTTTATTCATCGGTAAACTGCAGGGGACTGGGCTAGGTGAGGAACCTCGTGGACCTTTTTGATAGTCTGGGGCCCCCTTTTCAGAATGTTTTTAAATACTTAAAAATAAAATTCAAAAGATTATAAAGGAAACCAGCAGAATGAATATAGTCATTGAATATTTAAAAAAGCAAACAAACCAAATTCATGGACTGCAGGTTAAGAACCCCTGGAGTAGATAATCTTGAAACCTAATTTCCACTCTAATATCTGTGATTCTATATATATGGGCTTATGTGTGTATAGATGTGTGTGTATGTGTGTGTACACATCTTATACTCACCCAACTTTACCTTTTAGTCATTTCTGTAGCATTGAACATTGCAATCCAGTCTTTATTTGGGCCTGGGGAATCATTGAAGTATTATTAATGAACCGAGCCCTCATTAAAAATATGCATTTTGCCCTGAGCAAATGAGGGTAGTCCAAAATCATTATTCCATTTGTGATTTCAAAATGCTGCTCATTGGTAGAGGGAAACCATTCCATCTGCCCCTACACCATCAGGGCAGAAAGGGGGTCCCCAGCAGCAGGTAACACTGGAATTATGATTTAATTCTTGTCAAACAAAGTGGAAAAGCAATAAATAATTTGTAAAACCACCCTATTTTATTTATGTGATATTAAGTGCCAGGAAAGGATTTGGTGAATGTATCTTAATTTGCAAATATTCCACTCTAAATGAAAAATGATTTCATTTTAAGCCAACAAACTCCCTTTAGATAAGGCTGTAAAAGAAGTTATCTAATTAAAAAGAATGATCAGCTTTGCACCTGCTTATTACTAGAGTCCTTCTCCCAGCTGAGTGAGTCCGGGTACCTGATCCCAAAAGGGTTAACCGCTTTGGTCCTACCTGTCTAACTCTCACCCCAGCCAGCCTACACTTGTTTCTGTTGGACTTGGCAGGGCATGGGAAGGCTTGAAATAAAACAGATGGCATATTTAACAGCAGCCCCCCCCCATCACCTTTCCCCACCCCCACAAAAAACCCCCCATGTATGTGCTATATTGTAGGCCAAATGTTATCTTAGTTCCATCAACTAAGACACCTTTTAAACTTCAGAAGGGGTATTGAGGAGGGGGGAGTGTGATAGAGAAAGGCCAAGTTATAAATGAGTCGGATCTGTTATTTGAGATAATCTTGGATCTATAATGGTTTCTCATGACTTCCCTTCCACCTGGGGCTGCACACCCAGCATATAAGGAAAGTAGCCTCTTTAGATTAAACAATTTCTAATCAGCTTTATCACTCATATCTGAATTTATCTTATTTGAGGAAAATGCCAATATATTAGCAGGCATGTATGATACACAAGGTGACCCTAGCAACTTAATGACATAATACATTATCCTTAATGAAGTCAATATCTTGTCTTTTAGCTGTCTGTCTATTGGGGCGATTAATTGCAGTGTCATTAAAGTTAGCTCTCTTTTCATTTGAGCTTGACAAGTCGCATAAAACTAATGTTCTTAGTTATCAGCCACTGGAATAGGATGGAGGATGGAGGAAATTGTAGGACAAATAAGGGGGTACTGCTACAGCTAACTTGGAGGACTTTTTCCAATGACTGTTTCCTTCCAAAGGTTCATTC